TCTTATCTGATGGGCTGATTTTGGTGGTCTAGTCTGGCGATGGTCTGGTGTGGGAGTTGGTGCTTGGTCTGATCTGTGGTCGGGATCTGAGACTCATCTGATTGTCTGGTGTGATGGTCTGATCTGGGGCGGATCTTATGGTCTTATGGTATGATCTGCTGTTGTTGTCTGGTCTGACGGCTGAAATTAAAATTAAAAAGATGAGAAGCTGAGGAAATAGTAGTGAAAAGGCTCTAAACGCTTTAGGGAGCTATGTAAAGAAGAAACGAAGCTAAAAGAAAAAATTCAGAAATACTTTATTTTTCAAATTCAGTTGCAATTGAAATTTCTCATGCCCTGAAAAGGTTTGCAAAGACTTTATCATACTTATACAGGGCTGTGCTGACGATATATCCGCGCAAGAGATCGCGCGTGATGCAGTGAGATCATATAAGGTGGGAATCAAGGTTTGACTGCAAATGGTTGGTTGGTTTTTATCAGGGCAATTGGCCCTTTGCAGCTAGTCATTCACGTGGTACAAAACCGCCGTGCTGGAGAGCAAAAGTCGCACTGGGACAAGACAAACAAAGAAAATTACCATTTAAAATTATGTATGTCTTTCTTTTTGTTTGTCTTGTCCCAGCGCGACTTTTTGCTCTCCAGCTTGGCGGTTCAGTTGTACCACGTGAATGGGTATTTAGCCGAAATCTGGCCAAACATAATGAAAACTATCTAACTTAGGCGAAAACTGATCACTATTTTACAACTTTATGGTAATTTAAAAGTCATTTTTGATTCCAATCTATTTAATCGTCAATTGTCTAATTATTAATCGTATGTAACTGTATAAAATCATTTTAAGCCATAAGTTGCATGTATATCTTGTTTCTTCAATTCACGCATTTAACTACGGTTTGTTTTTTACACGACCCTGTTTGAATGTAAGGGCAATCTCATCCAACCTAAGACAGAGCAAGACCTCAATAAATTTTATATAATTAAACTAGATTATAGTAGTTGCACACGAGGAAGCGAAAACTCAAGTAGCGAGTTTACAAAAAGAGTTGTTCGAAATTGCCCAACTAAAAACGTTGACAACCAAAAGTACCAAGTCACACATTTTCCTATCCTTAATACTGAATTAAGTTGAAGTGCAAGGTACTTTTTCTTTATTCTTTCGGGTATAAATGTTTATCTAAATTCTTGGAAAAAAAAAACTTAGAAAAACCTTCTGCTAATTAACTTTGAGGCTTTCCGTTTTAGCTTTTATTGATCGATGTCATTTAAAGTAGGAATGATGGCCACATTTTGCCAGCCAAGGTTGTTAAACTTCATCAAAATCTCGCTGTCATGATGACGGTAAACAGGGGAAAGAAAGTGAATGAAATTTGTCGTTTTTTATGGTGAATTACTGTCTGTGTCACCAATATGAATTTGGATAAAGAGCAAAATATGATTAACCAGGTTACTTTCTTTATCTAATACTCCACTGAGCTTCGCTTGTATTTTAGAAGGCCACGTGTTCGACCATGTACGAACTACACAGGGCTTTTAAAATGATAAACTATAAATAATTTGTGCTGAATGAGCATTTGGATTCGTTTCTACTCGCTATTTATCCTCTTGGAACAAATTAGTTTAAAACAAGAGCATTCGACAACGAAATAACTCAATTTTAAGTTGGACTCGTCGGAACACAAATTTTAACCGTACAGATGATAAATTAACAAGTATAATTTACCTCAGTCGTGCGCGCTGGTTTTAACATCCCAGACTGCTTCGTTCATAGTGAGCTTTCTTTGTGAAGCTGAGAAAGACGGCTAGGAAGTTTAAGCGAGAGCGTCTTGTTTCTCCTTCGCGAGCAACCTTCGCCAGCTCTCACAACTGAAGTTACCAATTTTTGAATGTGGCGCGGAGCAATGTTTTGATTTGAATAATTTTTTCTGATTGGATTTTCTTACTGCACGTGTCTATCTAGCATGATCAAGGATTGTTTACCACATAAATTACCACATACACCTCTGGGCAAGCCATTTGGGACCTTTAAGGTTAATTAACATTTCAAATAAATTCTTTAAAAAAGTCTTGAGGGAGTAAACCATTTTAAAGGCGGAAATGTGGTTTATTTTTTTGGTCGGAAAGGAAAAACATGTCAAGTCGTGACATTTTGCTCCTGTGTATATGTTGTAAGCGAAACTTACAAATATTTGCTTGGCAAAATAATTGTTAAGATTTTACATTTTAATACAGGAGTTTGCGGTCCTTTGATACAGCTCAACGTAAAACTTTAACCAGGGTTATCAAAATCATTATTAATATAAGAAACCTCAAAGGTGAAAGCACTTGATACAACAGATTATTATCAACAAGGAAAATGTAAATGTAGGAAAATAAAATTCAGCTAAAGTATCCCTCAAAGTTCTTTGCAGTAATTTTTTATTCTGTCAATAATTAACCAAGGTCTGCTAATGTCAGTGAGTCACTGCTGAGTAGACTGGTTGCGACTAAACAAGCGCATGGTACAAAATCACCTCGCTGGCTGGAGAGGAAACGAGATATTCAGGAAAGTATGTTGTTTTTCTTGCCCCACTGTGTCTTGTACAACCTCCTTCCCAGGGATCTCTGTCTCTCTCTCGCTCCGTAGGGCGGGTAGGAGAGAACCCTGGGAACGAGGTTGTGTCTTGTACTCTCCAGAAACGAAGAATTTTATGACCCAAATAAATATTTAGCTCACAGGGCACTTTGACGATCAACATGGATGATCTCAAATATGATATACCAGGTGTCGTTTTAAAATGAGCAGAATACACGGAAAGAGAATGATTATCATAAATGTTAAAACGCCTTTTTGAATAGCGAGGCGAAATCCAAAGCTCACCCGACCTCAATATTAATTTTACTCGTACTAGAGCATTCGCTACCTTTGTTTAGCTGAAGGTATTATGTTGGTACTGAGCAAAAGGGTGTCACTGGGTACTGAGCAAAAGGGTGTCAGCCTCTGAAACTGAGCTGGCGAGATCGGAAGTGCATTTTTTTCTGAACTCTTTAAATTTAAGTTCGCACTCTTTAAGTTCTGACAGGCTGCTATGGTGTGCTCAATGACAGCGCATTAAAGCTCAGTAGTGGAGCATATACAATTGGCGATTTAATACCTCACATATGCTATGTTATGTTGGTAAGCACCTATCGTATGCTCCATTAAGTCCGAGTGCTCCTCGGTTGCTCTTCGGTGGGGCCCAGAACAGTGATTTAGGGTCTGTTTACATGGAGGTGGGGGACC